ACGGTCACAAGCTGGCAGAGGGTAAATTCAGATTAGACATCAGGAGGGGCTACTTCACTGTCAGGGCGGCTAGGATCTGGAACCAACTTCCAAGCGAAGTGGTGCTGGCTCCTACCTTGGGGGTCTTTAAGACAAGCCTAGACAAACACCTTGCTGGAGTCGTTTGACCCCAGTACTCTTTCCTGCCATGGCAGGGGGTCAGACTTGATGATCCGCTCAGGTCCCTTCTGACCCTACCAACTATGAAACATGGTACACCCTGGAATGATTACATTAACATGAGAATAGCTGATGCAACCATACAACCTGCAACTAAATCACTTATTTTCTCTTGCCTATGGGCAGAACTAATTTTACCTGGGGAAACTAACTCAAAATTACCTACTTGGGGGAATTTCTGAAACTGAGCTTTTTGTGGCTTGAGCCCAGCCCTTTTGTCCACCTATATATGCTGATGCTCAGTGGTTACCTCCTTGCGCAACTGTCTAGTCAGTACAAATGTCAGTACCTTGACTAACAACACTTTTTGGCATGCCGGCAGGGTACAGCCACCCGTTAACTGCTTTGTTATCTGGTCTTAGATATCTGAAACAGCTCTTTCCACACCATTAAAATAAATCCATCGCAGCTTTGGTGGAGAGCTATGACATAGCAAGGCAAATCACACACTGAAAGAAGAAATCTAGTCACTGTCATACATCAAGCTCAACAGCCTCACTGTATTATGGAGTCTAAGGATTGTGACCTTTTAAGAGACTCCTATGATGGTTGGGTAGAACTGACTGTTAGCAGGGGGTCAGAAGCAATGGCTCCAAACAGTCGCATTATGGAGGTGTCTCCTAGTTATCCCTCTCTTTTAATTTATTTATGAATGAACACCAACTTGTTCCTGAAAGCTAATTATGGCTCCTCAGCTGAACCCATAAATAACACAGGATGTCATTACCTGACCTTACCTGGGCCTGGGAAAAGTATCTTAATAGTTATTGAATGAGTTGGTAAAGCTGGTGTGTACCCAGTTCTGTTGCTGATCTTGGGGAAGTGACATAACCTTTCCATGCTAATTTCTCCAAAATGGGACTGGGGATAATGACCTACATCTCTGAGTTCTCATGAGGTTCAATTATTGCTACAGACACAGGGCACTTCTACAGCAATTCTATTCCAGGATTTTGAAAATATTAGTATTATAGATTTTCTTGTGCAGGTGTGCATATTTTATTTAATCTCCAGCTACCTAGAATGCCCCCTCCTCATCACTGAACAGAAGATTGCATTATTGAAGAAAAGTTACAAGTCTATATTTGCTGCTGCATGTAAATCAGACTAACTGTAGTTAGTCTTCTCAGCCTCTTGAAGGCTCAGATCACCCTGGGCTTAGCTGGCTACCTTTGTATCTCCTGTAACCTAGTTACGTTCCCCTCCTCACCCCCATCCCTCTAACGTTAGTCTCTCGTTTGTGCGATATGCATTTCCCTACCAGCTTTGTCATCTTTTTTGGATTCACAATCTAAACATTTACTAATAAAAGTCCATCTGTTCTTATCAGTTTTATTGATGAAAAGACGGAGCTTTCACCAGCTGCACCTAGCATTCTATTGCGCCCTCTGCAGCACCAAATACAAGGCCCTGAAGCTCCTGAAGAACCACCACAAGGGATGCAAAGGCCACAGAGCCGAGAGGAGACCCGGCACACTGGTGAGGTCCGCTGCCCCGGACCGTCAGACCCAGGCCATGGTGCAAAGACCCACCAGACCAGCCACCCCACCAACAACCCCACCGAACCAGACCTCCAGGGACCCCCTGGCAGAGAGGCCTGCCCCAGGGACGCCACCACGCAGGTCTACACCCAGGGATCCCTGACCAGATGTGATGCCCTGACCAGGCAGCCCTCCTCCCAGACCCCCGGGGCCATCCGATGCTTCTGATCCACTGAGGATCCCAGAGCCACCTGGAGGAACCGAGCTGCTGGGAGCTTCCCAGCTCCCGAGTGTGCCAGGATCTCCAGGTGCAGAGCCCTCCCCACAGCAGAGGATGCCCACCCCATGACAAACCCTCTGGCTGGAGGAGCTCTCCCAGACCACCACCTATGAGGCCTTTGAGGCTTCAGTGGCCCAGCTCACAGAGGAGCTCTCGGCAGCCGCCTGGCCCAGCCAACCCCAGAGGGGCAACAGCAACGGACCGGTGACACGACGAGAGCACAGACTGCAGACACAGAGGCGACCCAGGCACCAGTGCTATGACCCAGCGACAGCCTCCCGGATCCAGAAGCTGTACTGGGCCAACCGTCCCAAGGTGGTGAGAGAGATCCTGGAGGGACCCTTGGCTTTCTGCCAGGTACCCCAGGAGACTCTGTTTAATTATTTCAGCAGGGTCTTCAACCCCCCAGCAGAAGCCACTGCCCCATGTTCCTGCGATCATCGAAGCACTGACCCCCATCCCCCTGGCAGAGGGGTTCGAGGATGCCTTCACACCACAGGAAGTGGAAGCCCGCTTCAAGAGGACTAGGGACACCGCCCCTGGCAGGCACGGTATCACATACAGTCTCCTCAAAAAATGCGACCCAGGCTGCCTTGTTTTTTCTGTTCAACAGGTGCTAAGAGTTCCAGCACACGCACGGCATCTGGAAGAGGGCCATGACAGTCCTCATCCACAAGAAGGGAGACCTGACCGACCCAGGCAACTGGAGACCCACTGCTCTGTGCTCCACTGTCGCCAAGTGTATGCCAGCTGCCTGGCAGCCCACAGCACTGACTAGGTAGTGACCAGTGGAGCCATCAGTCGGAGCCAGAAGGGCTTCATATGTCAATGGAGGGCTGCTATGAGCATAACTTTGCTCTCCAGATAGCCCTGGACAATGCCCGGAGGACCAGAAAGCAGTGTGCCGTGGCTGGACATCTCCAATGCCTTCGGCTCCGTGTCCCACCGCCACATCTTCAGCACCCTCCGCAAGCTGGGCCTACCAGACGGCGTCATCGGCCTGGTGCGGAAGCTCTGCCATGGATGCACCATGACCGTCTGCACCACCAACAGAGAGACCACAGAGATCCCCATCCAGTCGGGGGTGAGACAGGGCTGCCCCCTCAGCCCCATCATCTTCAACTTAGCCATGGAACCACTCCTTTGAGCCATGGCAGGCAGCCCTGGCGGGCTCGACCTGTACAGCCAGAAGTTGAGCATCCTGGCCTACGCCAATGACATTGTTCTCCTCGCCCCCGACACCACCCAGCTGCAGCAGATGCTGGACATGAAGTCTGAGGCAGCCAGGTGGATGGGCCTGCGCTTCAACATCGCCAAGTGCACCTCCCTGCACATCAACAGCAGGCAGAAGAGCTGTGTCCTGGACTCCACCCTCACAATCAAGGGCCAGGTGATGAGGCACCTGCGCGACAGCAAGGCCTACTGCCACCTGGGGATGCCCACTGGCCACCAGGCCAAGCAGATGCCAGAAGAGACCTTCAACAGGATTGTGCAGGACGCCCACAAACTGGACTCATCCCTGCTGGCTCCCTGGCAGAAGATAGACACAGTGAACACTTTCCTCATGCCCTGCATCGCGTTTATCCTGAGAGGCTCAGCAGTCCCCAAGACCCTTCCTCAGGAAGGCGGACGCTGAGATCTGGCGGCTGCTCAAGAAGTGGCACCACCTGCCACTAAGG